CAGTTAATAGTATCACAAATGATCCCTACCAAAAAAAAATTAAAAACATTTCATTGATTAAGATTTTTAGATTATAAAACCAAGAATGCTTGTAGAGGATGGATTATTACAAGAAAACATGCGATGACCGCGACGGTTAGTGTCTTGTAACGACCAAAGTAAGTGTCGCAGAGGAAAGCAGCAACGAAGGTTCCGAAGTACAAAGGGAGTTACAATGGGCACATGCATAGAGGACACTACATGGCTTGCAAGCACTAGGAAGAAGGATTTTGGGAAAGAACAAAGGGAGTTACAATGGGCACATGCACAGAGGACACTACATGGCTTGCAAGCACCAGATGCTAAGATGTTCCCTGAACGAACCCATTTCAATGAGCTTTCTCAAATGGCTGAAGAAGCTAAGAGAAGAGCCGAGATCGCTAGGTAAAAGACTCATCTGATCTCTTTCCTTACTGTGAAGTCAGAGAAGAACACAAAACTGTAACATGTGTTATTTATTTATCTCATTCTCTTTTACACTTTGATTATAGGTTGAGGGAGCTTCACACACTCAAGGGTCACGTTGAATCTGTAGTGAGACTTAAAGGTCTTGACATTGAGACCATCCAACAGTCCTACACAGTCTGATAGAAGCCTAAAGAGAGAGAGAGAGCTGAGAAACCTGTCTCAATGTCATTCAAGAAAGTGATATCTCTGTTTGAAACTTAGTTACAAGTTATGCATATAAGTATCAGATTCCTAAGTAGTGTTTTTGCTTTCGTTTTTAAGTTTGTTATGTTGTGTGATGAGGAGAATGACCAGAAGTAGAAAACATAATCCTTAAAAATGCAAAACAAATTGTTATTCTGTAATACATCTGAAGTTATCATCTCCCTTCTCTTTCACAATGATAGAAAGAAAGGGATGTGATGTAAAATAGAAACCAGGAAACAAAAAAAAAAAAGATACAACAAGAAGTATATGATTACTTTCATTTCTCTATAATAGCTTATTCAAAGAAAGACCAAAGAGTGTAAAGGGATTGCAGCGAGAAATCATCTCCAGAGTCCTTTAATCTATTTTACAAAGCTAAAATATCTTCATTTTTTCCTTTTAATTTTATATGTCAAATGAAAATCATAAAATTAAACTGAAAACGTCAATATTTATTATTTGATTTATAGAATTTGATAAAAATATTTCAAAAACAAAAAACTGTTTTTCATATTTTCGTGAAAATCATCAAAATTTGATTAAAAATGATTTTAAAATATATTTTTCTCAAATTTGAAAGGTATATAACTTAAATATTTGTCCATGGGTTCACTGATTTATAAGGAGGGTTTTCGTTTAGTTTTGATCGTTCGGGGAGAATTTGATTTGAGATTTTCATTAATTGATGAATGGTATGATGATTAGTAGAGAGTATAAATGATTTAATTTTTTTTGTAGAATGGCGTCTGAGCCTTTGACTTGATTGAAGCTGACCAAAAACTAAGTCTAAAAGCTTCCAGAAGATAAGAAACCACATGATCATATTAGACTTAGTTCTTGTCTTGTTGTTTGATCATATCACCATTGGTTTCATAACTTGTCACTTCATCATCACTTCCTTTGTACCTATACCATCTTGACATCACCAAGAAGTAAGCAACCAAGATTCCAGCAATCATGAAGTAAAATTTATCCAATCTTCCTTTGTTCAAATCTTCAGCTAACCAATTACCACCAGCAGAACTGTGAACCGTTGCAATCAAGAAGCTACCAAGATAACTCGAAACTCCTCCTCCTACATAAAAGATTGAACCAGCGAAACTCCTCATGTTCTCAGGAAACTGCTTGTAGTAAAACTCCATCTGTCCAATGGCTCCAAACGCCTCAGCTATACCAGCAAGTGTGAGCTGCGGTATCACTTAAAACACTTAGATTAGACATATATACTAAACAAAAACTTACAAATGATTATTTATTCTTTTTATAAATTATTTAACTTGAAAAAAGTAACAAAATGAATTTTCTTGTTTCTAAAATATTTTAAAAAATAATAACTGCAGCGAATGGCACAAAAAAAAGGTAAAATTATTTTCACATCTTATTATTTCTTTACTTGATTTATGGGTATCAACAGCATAACTAGATTCACAGAGATTATGTTTTCAAACATCAATGATGAATAGCATGAAAATCATCTTAGGTGACCTAAACTTTGATCACTATAAAGCAAAATTGTGAACTGGGATGAAATAGCGGTTTTCTGCATGATATGGAAACGCTACCTGTATATTGGTGACGACTAAAACTCATAAATGATTGAATAAATAGCTTATAGTTCTCAATGTTTATGTAGATTTTGCTAATTGAAAACAAAAATCCACAGATTATTGGTAAATGAGATTGTATAATGATGAGGTTATGATTCTTCATGTTTGGTGTCAGTGGAATCTAACCAAAATCTGTTAAGAAAATGAAAATATACAAAAGCCAATGGGATTAGAAAAAGAAATAGCTTTGATATAAATAGAAGACGTCAATCGAAGTTTTCTTGATTATTTCGTAAAAAGTGAATAAAAGATAAGTTTTGGTATCAAATTTATTACTAATTTTATAGCACAAAGTAGGTTTAAATCCTAACAGTTTTTCCTTGGGATTTAAGCTTTCTTTCTTCGGTCTAAAACTGAAGACTTTTTTCCACTAAAGTAGATCTTTAAACTAATATTGAAACTTCCTCGGCAAAAAACTACTTTTTGAATCTTCCTGGCTTACTTTGTGATCAAGTTACATATTTTGTGCAGAAGATGTCTCGACACTGGATAAATCAAATACAACTGTTTTGGTTGGGGCAACAAAACCTCCTTCAAACCCCACTCATCCAGTGATCTCCAAAATTTTCTTTTGAATCGCGATGATAAATTTGTTGGAGGGTCGATGAATTTGGTTGTTTGTGGACGAGGTAATATCTTACCTCCATGATTTATTTTTATTATGTTTCCTAAAACTAGATTCTTGTTTATGATTGTTATGTTTTTTGCAGACCCTTTTGAAAGTCTTCAGTAAATGGTTACAGATTGTTTCTCCTAAATCAGATATGGTCCGTTAAATCGTGAGGGCAATTATCCTGGACCACAGATATGGCCCGCTGAAAAGATTGTTCGTTGCAACTCTTTAGGAGAGCTTGATCTTCTTGAGATTAGTTGGAGACTTCCTCCTAAGGCGTATTCTCAATACAAACATGTGGTCTACCTCCAACGTGTTCTAGAACATCGTAAGTTATTGTTTGTTTTTTCTTTAATCATTTGTATTTTATTTTTTATTTCTTTGTTTACCTCTTTTCAGGCGGCAAAGGTACGCTTTTCTTGAGAATTGGTGAATTCATTCAAAGTGCTCATAGGCAATGTCAATGATGATGGAGGAGCTCTTGACTCCACTTCGTATGAATCCCGCTTTACCATTAGAATCAGGGCCGTCTAATACCATGTGTAAGTGGAGCGGTCGAACAAGGCCTCAAATATAAAAATAAAAAAAATAAAGAAAAAAATAAAGAAAAATTAAGAATTTTTAAGAATTATATAGATAAATTACGATAATTTTTTTTTAAAAAAATTAGATATATTTCTAGATTGGAATTTATAATTTGTAAAAAAAACATCAAAGATAATTATTAACTTTTAAAAAAATTTCATTAAATCATAAATATATCGTTAATTTTTTTTACATGGTATTAAAAATATTTGAGACGGCCCTGATTAGAATGGATCTTTCAACACATGGTATTCAAAAGGTATGTTCAAAATTTTAAATATTAATTTATTTTTGTTATTTTTTTTTGTCAAAATTTTTTTTTGTTATTAACATTATGTTCTGTGTGCAGATTTATGACATAGTTGAGCTTGTTCTTGCATTTCTCAAGTGCTTGATAAATGAACATTTCCCTGTTGTAATGGAAGAATACAAGATCATTCAGAGTATCAAATATGCAAATTTTGATACATCAGAGGATGGAGCTAATATTGCAAATTTCACTAAGAATAATTTCAATGTTGCAGGCTCTTCTAGCAGGTTTTGAAACATCTCTGATCTTTGATGCATACAAGATCAACTTCTCTGTTATTGGCATTTTTAATGAAAAAATGCCAGTCTTGGTTGAACATATCTGGAAAGGTTTCTTATCATTTTTGCCATCACCAAAGACGTTTCAGGTATTTTTGGATTTTATCTATAACTTCACTGAATTCTTTGAGTCTTGATACAAACATATTGATTTCTTTTGTTTGTTTTAATTGATTGTAGCCTTCATTTCCAACTTCAAAAAGAGTCCGATTGATATCGAGCGTCAATCCATAATGATTTTGGAACAATCTTTTGTAAAGACATCTCTTGGTTTTCATTCGACACTTCACTCACTCAAGAGAGTGAATTGTGAAGATCTCACAAATTTTTCTATCTCTCTGCGCTCAAAGGTAAATTTTATTCACATATTTTATTAGCTTTAGTAAAATTAATCGTAGTCTTGATTAGCATTAATATGGCATTGATTCTTACGTATATAAAGTCGATGTTTATCTATATATACTAATTTTTGCAAAAATTTAATTTGAAATTGAAAAATTGAAATTTTTTAAAATATAATTATGATATCTCTGTTTGAAACTTAGTTACAAGTTATGCATATAAGTATCAGATTCCTAAGTAGTGTTTTTGCTTTTCTTTTTAAGTTTGTTATGTTGTGTGATGAGGAGAATGACCAGAAGTAGAAAACATAATCCTTAAAAATGCAAAACAAATTGTTATTCTGTAGTACATCTGAAGTTATCATCTCCCTTCTCTTCCACAATGATAGAAAGAAAGAGATGTGATGTAAAATAGCAACCAGGAAACAAAAAAGAAAGAGAGATACAACGACAAGTATATGATTACTTCATTTCTCTATAGCTTATTCAAAGAAAGACCAAAGAGTGTAAAGGGATTGAAGCTGACCACAAACTAAGTCTAAAAGCTTCAAGAAGATGAGAAACCACATGATCATATTAGACTTTGTTCT